GAAACTAGAAGCACAAACCAAAGAGCAAGATGGCAAGTCTCTGATCTGTGGGATTGTTAAGTTGCGTATCCAATGAACTTTATTTCAGTATACTGTTTATTTGTATGTCTCTTAGACTAATTAGTTCTGGTTGGTCAGTGTGAGATATTTGGTTTTTCGCATCCTTTTGCCAGATTAAACGAGGAACAACTTCATTCGGGCTAAATTGTTATGTGAAAACATTTCGTCACATTACGGTTCGATACGATTGCTTGGCACATCATAAGAGTGAAAGTGGGTAGCATGCAACCTTCCCGATCTAAAAAGGTTACGAACAATGAAAGTGATGTGAGCCCAACTAAAAAGATTACAAACAGTTGTTGAAACGCGCTTAAGCAGGCATAAGCTATTCAGCGCCATGCCCCCCCCGCCTCCCTTGACCAACGACCAAATATTCTTTTTTCACTGGAGGCAATGAACCCAGAGTAACTCGACAGACAGAAGGCGAATTAACTCGTATTCTTTTTCCTCCATCTTTCGGGCTGTCTTTTTCGTTCTGGTTGCCAAGAAAAACTTTCGAAGCCATTTCACCATAGCCGTTTCTTCGGTAGAGTGAATGAGGAAACGTCCCACATATTTACTACGAAAGTGAGGTTTTACTTTAGTTCTACACATACAAAACTGAGTTCATACATAGTAACAGAAAAGTAGGCGACAAGGAATGACGCACAATTCATCGCTAAGGCAGTGCTGTCGCTTTAAGTCTCTCGATACAAAACATTTTCGCATGGGGGTCTGATAGAATATGTTGTTTTTTTATATGGCGAATGTTATATTTGTTGTTGTTTGTTTCTAACAAACAACAACAAAATACTCGAATAGAGCGGAATTTTTGATCACCCTCAAATCAAATTCTCCATCATTTAGAGTTCTGCAAAATTCGTTAATTAGCTTCTTCTTCCATTTGTTCCACTTCATTCACAATCGGCGATCCTGCCTCTTCGTTTATTTCGTTCACATTTTCTGTCCCGTTTTCGTCTTTCTCGTCGCCTTGCTCAGCCGGCTCTTCGTCTTCTTTGTCTTCCTCTGGCGGCTGTGGAATGTTGGCCATGTACTAAAAGATAAACAGGTAAGAAATCTACAACTTCAACACATTATTGGAAGAGCTTAAAGAAATTCGTCTCCCACGCTTATAAATCTTTTCGCACCTGATGCTGCTAGCTCCTGGCTGCAAGTGCTGAGTGCTTTCCCGTGCTCAGAATCGGTTCCACGACCCCCATACCTTGCTCTAGTAACATTATATTAGGTTGATTGCCCCGTTAGCTTACGTTGCAATTCACAAAGATGGGGCTTTGGCAGTGTCCACTGTCCACTTTTCAATTCCACAAGCATCGGTTGACGGGAAAATTAAAGAAAATGGATCGGCATCTCTGATAAAACATAAGATATGATAACAAACTAACCTCTCTCTGTGCTCTTAATGATTCCACATACTGACTGTAGAAGTCATATACGAAGCGATGCATCTGAGGCATGTCCTCGACGATAAACGGTCGCTCAGCTGGAGGAACTCCACGCTTAATTTAATGAGGGAAAAAAAAGGGGTAAAATAGCGAGTGCATTTCGCGAATAACAGGTGAAAGACGCAAAATAAATTGAGAAAAACCACCATCAAAATTAACTTTTTTGATTGATTGTTTAAAACCTTCAACCGTGGACCAAATTTTATTGGAAAAGCCATGAACCCTAAAATTGTGATGCAACGCCTTCATGACAATCACATGTCCCCTTTTCAATATTGGATAACAGGCATACGTTCAATTCCTGAAAGTGTTCCTCCTTACAAGGATGGGAAGGAGCAAAATATGCCCAGACCAAAATGCTCCATGCATTGCGACATAATTTGGAAATCTGTCAGTCAACTTACCGGTCTGGACGGGGGATATCTTTCACTAGGTGCTAAAGAGAGCTTCAGCGGTCGGCTGGTCAACTATGGAGAAGAGAACAATGTAGATGTCATCTTACCTTTCAACGTTTTACCAATGGATGATAGCCTCATGAATAGTCACGTAAACGCCAAATTATGACCAAATTTGGGTTAGGCATAACGCAAAACGGCGTGACGCTTTATTCGCGCGTAACGCTACTCTGAAAAGACTTAACGCAAGCGTTGCCAACGAACTAGTTGTCCCTTGTATACTCAGAATATGAGAAGTTCTACTCACCTGAGAGAAGGCAGGTCTGAGCTCAAAGCAGTTCTGGAAGAGGCTGACACGTGCGAGGACATAAAGACCTAACCTGGCACGTGACATAGCCACTACAAGACGGCGCACATCCCGGATGTGACCCACAGTCTTTGTGCGGACGAGAGATAATATGATGTAATCGTTCTGTTGCCCCTGGTAACGATCCACAGTAGTGACCTGCACAAATAATAAAAGAGAGGACAAAAGAGTTACTGGAAATAAAATTACTACTTTCATTCAAATTGTGTCTTTCTTTTTTACTTTTAATTTGAATGGGGATTTCTCGCCAAAATTTTTCCCGCCAACGAAATCGTTTTAAGGTCCATTGTTAACACTGAGCTTAGATATGTTTCAGTCACACGGCATCAATAGAATATTCTCCCGCGCTCAGAGTCATTGACAAGTTTTTCTCGCCATTGACACATATCTCATGACTACTACGTTTTGCACCACTTACATCTCTCCAACGTCTAGCACAATGTATGTTTCCCATGATCGGTAGCGCTGAGCACCAGTTACATGTTTTCCCGCCCTTTGCGCCAAGAACAAGCTCTCCCGCACTTGAAAAATTCTTATCATTCCCGCTTCAAGCACCACTTTTATTTCCCGCCCTAAGTGACTCTTAGTGTCAGTAACGTGTTTTCCCGCAACCATCTTGTTGTTTTGTTATCCCTCATTACTAACTGCTAGTTTGCTGCCGAGGATTCAGTTGCATACTTTGGCATATAATATGATTGTGTGAAATCCTGCATGAGGCTAGTTCACAACCTTATTGAAGGTACACACCAAAACAGACATGTGCTATTCAAAGGCAGAACTGACTCAGACCTCAGCCAAGACAATACCAGTTACAATCACAGCTTAAACATAACCCTACCCTTCTTCCACTTTACCTTGCTCGGTTGTCCAATCAGAGGGTTGTTTGCACATCTTTGCTTAATAACGTCACGGATAAGATGCTTCTGTCCGTTGTACGTTGTTAGAATGGCGATCTTGTCAGCGGGGTACCCAATGAGGCGCATGTACATAAAGATGGCCACAGCGTATTCGGCCTCACCAAGATTCTAAAGTGGTCAAGAAAGAGAAAGTTATTATCAAAAGCAATTGGTTCCCGCCATGTTGGGTGACAGGGCTACCGTTACATTTTCATTTATACTTGCGTGACTCCCACAGTTACAAGTAAAACGATTCATGAATTGAACATTAAAGGAAAAACTTGGAGAAAAACGCTGGCCACCGGAAACAAACAATAGAACCACTCCGTTATCCCCAAAGGAGGAGGATATCAGATCTTCGCCATGAAGCAAAAAGTAAAGTAAAGAAAAATAAAAAAGTAAAATTCAAAGTACTTACCTGATAAAAGTAAGGATTGGGTTCTGATTCGCCAACGCCGTTGAAATCCTGAACATCGATCAGCTGAAAATCAAAGAAAAATCCAGGATTCTCCACACAGTACTCAGGCCACGTATGGACATGAGGAAGATCACCAAGTTTGTTGTACCTCCAGTTGTACAGGCTACATAGGCTGAAAGAAAGTCATGTTAAAAAGGTTAAGTCTTTCGAGCTTTACCGCCCATTTCTCTGAGGTTTTATCGAATTTTCAAAGGATGACACCATTAAGAGTTTTACTTATGCTGGAGAGACCAAACCTCGTTAATATAAAATTTACGTGACCCCCTCCCCCCCAAGGCTCTGTGATATTCCTACGATCAACCTCCCTCCCCCTCCCTTCAATTGACGGTCAATTTTCTACAGTCCGTCCTTCCGTCCTTTAAACTCCGTTGGCGGTGACTAATTCCCCCTCCGGTTCCCGAAAAACCATGTGATCTCCCAAAACTTTTCCACTCCCTCCCCCCGGAGATAAACATTGACTGGTCCCTGGGTTTGATGATAAAATCAGGCGAGGTTTGAATAATTCATACCTGGATCGTGCACGACCTTGAGCATCGAGTTCAACTGTGGGAACACAAAGTCTGACAAATCTCGTGAAAAGAGATTGCTCCATGTTGGAAAACTTCTGAAAAGCCATGTTCTTTATAACAGGAGGAAGCTGAGAATTTAAAAAAATATATATATACATATACATAAATGAATAACTAAATAAATACAAAAGAAAAAAAAGGGAAATATAAAATAACGCTTTATTGCATCCTATATAAGTCTCAGCGACAATAGTCCATTTTACGGTTGAGTGCTCGGTCGCTAAGCCTTTAAACAGGAATGAGGCTAAGGTTGACCTTGTTATACAAACCTCGCTGCTTATCAAATTCAGATTACTTTGTTATCATGTAAACTAGATACTGGTTTTACCACGAGGTCACCTTCAGCCTCACTCCAAATCAAAGACTTGGCAACTAAGTGCACAACTGCAAAATTGCCTATTCAACTTGTTGCGTATGCTCAATTATTGCCCGCTGAGCTGACGAATACCACGCGAAAAACTGGCGTACAACAAAGATACCTGATGATGATCTCCGATGAGAATGACCCTTTTCATCCGATTGTATCCATCTTCTGGATTCTATTCATCATGTGAGAGCAAAGACGAAAGGTGAGTTAGATATTTATTACCGTAACTGTTGCTATTTGCTGGTTAATCACGGGTCTCAATGGGAAACTGCACGATTACAACAGATCGTCTCTGGAAAAGACAGTGCATGAATTCCTAGGAGTAACAAGTACTTTTCAGTCCTGTTACCGGAAGAACCCATGTCATGGTTTCTGCATCTGGAAACTGAGCCTAAATTTCTAAGTTTGCAATCCGTTTTAACCCTTTAATTTCCGTGAGTAACCAATCCTTACAATGTCAAGAAAAGTGATGACAATACAGAAAAACATCAATCAGAGGTTTATCAGTTAATTTAGTGCCAAATTCTTGGAGCCAACATCATCAAAATTCTATACCAGTAAGGAGAATTACTAACGAAATCTTGGGATTGAAAGGGTTAATCCACTTAATCTTTTGTCATCTTTTCTATCGTATTAATTAAAACCAATATTTTGTAGTTTTCTTCAAACTGTGAATAGTTTAGCACAACAAAAAATGACTTCAAATGTTTTCTTGTCAAGTGTTGGCCTCACTAGTTTCGTATCGAACTCAGTACTTAGCATTTGTGATACAGAGCAAGTTTCCCACCTGAAGCAGTAGTGGAATAAACGTCTCAATCTCTAGGATCTGTGCGGACTCCTCCATGAGCACATTGTCGTACTAAAATTCAACAAGAGCAGAATGAAGAAAGGATTCATTTAAACTCGACCGTTTAGCGACGGTTAAGCAAACTTCTAAAACCAAACGAATTCTCATCAGATTCAAACCCGCTAAGACCTTCCAAAACACAGCATTAATTACATTCTTTGTAGAAATAAATTACTCTTCAAAGAGTCCTCAACTGTGAGCCCTATGCTACGGCAACTTGGTAAAATTCTCCTCACCTTGAATCCAAGCTCCACTAGGTCTCTCCTCTTGAGTGCGGCATGGGTACAAGTCATGGCTATGATCTTAGCTTCTTTCACTAGGAGGTAGTTTGTTCGATCGCGACCTGTCAGATAAATTCCGTCAAAAAACGAAAAATTTAAAAGCGAACAACATATGACGTACTCACACAAAAAGGAAGAAAAAGAGTGAAATCTTCTTACCGCTTCTGAGAAGCTCAAATGCTCTAAATTCCTGTAAAAATAAATTCGTCAAAGTATGTTTTCTGCGATAAAATACAACTGTTCGCATTCAGTTTCCTAAGTATGCCTAGACGTTTTCTATCCCACAATGGCAAGCGAACTGTGTGAGGGATACATCAGCAAAAGCAAAGATTTTATAGGAATTAGAAAAGAACTAATGTTCTGGGATAAATCAACAAAAGGAAAACAAACAATGAACCAAACAACAACAAAAAAAATCACAAAAACATAAGTTCATGGGAAAAGAGACGGGGGGAGACCAACGGTGGAAATGGGAGAAGGCCGAACGGGGCAATTTCAACACAATCGTAAAAGAAGCTGGTAGATTGTCCCTAGATAAGAATGTTTCCTAAGAAAGATCAAATATGTATCACCCGAAAAAGAACGCAATTACAGAGAAACTGCTACGACAAGGCTACGTTTCAAAGACATGGCAATGTCGCTCCATTCTAGTGAAAAAAATTGTAGTGCGAAAAAATAAATGTATCTAACCTCTAACTGCTGAAATATCTTCTTGATATATCGATAGCAGCCCTGAATGAAACAAAATCGAATCAAACAGTAATTGACACCAGAAGAAAATTGCGCATGAAGTAGACTACACCAGCATGTAACACTATTTTTCTGAATATTTCCTTCTTCATTTGGAAAATTTTGTATCTCTTGTCTGTTCCCTGTGTTCAATAAGGGAACAGACGTGCAAAACCTCTTGGTTTCCATCGTTTTCCTTGACGCGCCGTCGGTTGTTTTCTTCCGTACACCTGTTAACCCACAGAATAAGCTACCAAAGGTTATCCCAGAGTGCATTGCTAATGAGTATCGTAAAACCAAAAATCACAATAATCACATCGGCCAATCAAAGCATAGGAAAATCCCCAATGAACCAATGAGGACTTAAAACTGCATAGCGCGCGGGAAAACCCAAGTGACTTGCAGCTGACTTTTGGGGAACAACAAAACCAATGCGATCTACTTCGAAAAGTAGTCAAGAGCTCTTTAAACGAACGACGAACCCGCGAGTTTAGGTATTATAATCTCAGCTCATAAGTTGCAATTATGAACTGAGATTATAAGGCAAATACGAGTCTTGTTTAAATCTTTTTTTTTTCTATATTTCTTTCTTTGTATCCAGTCTCTCAAATCAGCAAAAGAATAGCTTTACTCGAGTCGTAAAGAAAACAAATTTACCTCTGCAATTTCCATGTCTTCTTCATATGAACTCATCTTGAAAATAGGCTACAGAACAACAACATCTCGAATAAAATCATTTGAAGATTAAAACTAAGGGATAAGAGTGACTTAGCACTATTCAAAAGAACTAACAGATACATCAAACCCTTATAAAAATCTTACCAATAATAGTGATAATCATAGTAATAATATTAATCAATTCATGAAGGAAACAAAACTTACCTGTGGTGCGTTCTCAAAGAACTTCGTGAAAGGGAAGAACTCAGATATCGCCGCAGTTTCTCCTCTCTGAAAAATAAACACGAAGATAGAGCGCGAAAACAAGCGAATTACACATCGCCTGCCGTTCCTTATAATGTTCAAGCCCCTTTAAATCTTTCCCATACCACACCATAACGAGGCAAAACCGTTACGAGGCTAGCCTAAAATTCTGCAAAGGAAACAAGTCGAAAACGAGACTGGGTAACATTTAACGATTCAAGTGAAAAAAACAAAAAATAAAGAATATTGAACCTCGAGGGCCATTACTGCTGAAGCTATTTCAAGTTTTCATCACGAGAAGTGACAAGCTGTTTTAATACTTCTAAAAGAAAATAACCATAAAAAAGAACACAAAAAAGTGACCCAGCCAAGGCTGAAATCCCGGACCTCAACACTTAACCACCCCGCCTGCAAAAACATAGTTTGTAATTGTTACGCTTGTAACAAATATTCAAGCGTCAATGTAAAACGGGTAGCTAGTTACTTACTCTTGCCTTCAGCTTCGCCATGTACTCCTCCCAACGTGAGACGACCTGCAAACAAAACGAACCAACAGTTAAATTCCATCAGGCCAGAATAGCGCTTTATCAAGAAAAAAACAGGAAAAGGAAGAGTGGATGAAATACCTGATACAAGTAAAAATATCCCGCAGTTTCGCATGTGTAAGAAACATCGCCATGAACACCCAGACTCTCCTGGAAAAAAAATGAAACAAAATCTAAATTTACCCCGTTGTTTTGTTATTTTGCAACAAGTATTTAGATTGGCCGTGGCAACAGTTATGATTTTGTTTGTTTGGTTTGTTTATTTTCTTACGTTCCAATTTGTGACTTTTGTACTCAAACAATATTGAGTTGACAAGAAATGAAAATGAGACATAGAAGGTTTTTTTTCCAGTGAGACAATCCTTAAGACAATTCTATTGATAAGTGCTTACCTGTAACCTTTGCACTTCCTTAAGGAGCTCCAGTCTGCTGGCTAAAACAAAATTTACACGACCGTACCTAGAGGCATAAGTGAATTGTACATTAGGAACAATACCCTTTGTAACCAGGCTCTGTGACG